ATCAAGTGCGAAAATACTTGCTTCGCCTGCGTCAGGAGCACGTCAAGTTCTGGCGTCCTCAGATCCTGCTCTTTGTGAGCGATCTCGACAGGCAATACAAAATGGTCTCCTTCTGCAACTCGTTGAAGAAAGGGTCACTATTTGTCCTAGCTCATGTTCTTGTGACCGATGACTTTTCAGCAGCTGTTCCCGAAGCACGTCGCCAACAGATAGCATGGACAAAATTTGTCGAATATTCCAAGATAAAAGCCTTTGTCAACATTGCCATTTCGCCCGCTGCTGAATGGGGTATGCGAAACATTGTCTTAAATTCCGGACTGGGCGGCATGAGGCCCAACATCGTTGTGATTGACCAATTTCGGTCGGACCAGTCGCTTGTTGAAACCTTATCTTTGAACAGTGGCCGCAGAGAGTCGAGGACTAGACGCCATTCGGCCCACTCGAGCACGCGAACCGAGCAGGTCAACGAGTCTGGACCGGAAAACCCCCCCATGAGTGGGCAAAGTTATGTTACAATCCTCGAAGATCTCTTGTTCAAGCTTCGGATCAATGTTGCTGTAGCTAAGGGATTCGAGGATCTGGAGCTACCGGACCCCAGCGGTCGCCACAGTAAGAAGTATATTGATCTGTGGCCGATCCAAATGTCCGCCGAGCTTGGGGCTGATAGTGAAAGCAAGCAACATGTGCTGACCACTAATTTTGACACGTACACTTTGATCCTTCAACTGGGTTGTATTCTCAACACTGTTCCCTCGTGGAAGAAGACATACAAAATCCGAGTTGCGGTGTTTGTGGAGTATGAGACCGACGTGGAAGACGAAAGAGGGCGGGTTGAGGCTCTCCTTGACAAATTACGGATTGAAGCTGAAGTCTTGGTCTTCTGCCTTGCCTGCGGTGATCTCCAGGCCTATCAAACCATCGTGAATGGCGATACTTCCGTTGCAGTTGATGCCCGAGAGAGGGTTAATTCCGCTCTGGAGGGAGAAGAATGGTGGCAAGGGGTCTTACAAGCCCGTGCTGTCGATCAAGACCCGCAGGATTCGGATAGAACCAGTGACAGTCTCCATATTAATAAGTCATATACCTGGCAAGGACCATCGAGCCAAGAAAATGGGGCCAAACCCTTGCACAATCGAGTGACTGGCTTGAGGAACCTGATACAGTCCACTCGTCGCAGACGATCTGTCTCCAGCTTCCGGGCTCTAGGAGGAGTGAACCTCGGTATGCAAACGCATCGCTTGCTAGATGCGTTCGTCGACTACGACAGCCCCGATAGTTTGAGTGACAGCGAAGACAGTGACTTGGAGGCGTATTCCAGCGATCCAGAACCTGAGGATGGCGGAGAGGACATAGTCATCGCTCGAAATGAGGCTGTACCCGTTTCCGGCTCTTCGAGTCTCCTTGGCCGGTCGGAGACTGATGATTGCAGCCCTAGCGCAGACTTCCCGAGCACACCAGTGCGTGCGAGCCCTCAAGTAGAGGAAGCACCATCCAACCAGCTAATCCCATCCATAATCGAGACTGGCGACGATGGGTCCCCGAAAAGCAAACCTCCAGGTCGACCACCGCCCATCAGTCGCTCTGCTTCCAGCAATCGGTTCAGCTCCTCGCCCATCCCTGAAGCTAAAGTGAACACCGAGGCTGAGGAGGGCAATGGACCGTCTATCATGTTTGCGGCGCAAAACTCACCTCCACGATTTGCAAACAAGCTAGATTCTATCTACGCTCGTCGCCCATCTGCTGTATCTCCCACCTCCCCCGGTGCCCACAGCAGTCCGCATGCACATGCAACCGGATACCCTGGTGTAGCATCGGTTCCATTGTCTTTTAATGATCTCCCGAGTCGAGCACAGCATTTGATTCTGAATGAGTTGATGGTCCAGCAGAGTGGTGATACCGCCGTTATCTTTACAACTCTGCCATCTCCCGTGGAGGGGACTTCGCTTAGTGCGGAGGATAGTGCGTCTTACTTGAGCGACCTCGAAGTCCTGTGGAACGATTTGCCCCCGTGTCTGCTGGTGCACAGTAATAGCATGACTGTGACAATGAATTTGTGAATTGACAACGAATTATAATTGTACATAGTCTAGATTTGACTTTTTTTTTTTCGGATATTGACATATAATTATTTTCTAGAGAAACGCAAATCCCAGCATAGAGATGATCCCGGCGCTACTGCACGCCACAAAATCTCTGCACTGAAGAATATTGTACAGGCGAAGATCCCAATAAAAGGGAAATAGAAGAAATAATAGTCATCTTTATACTCCATATAAGATAATATATATTTATACCTATATTTATACCTAATATAGGTAGTCACTTTTAATATGACCAATTGGTATTACTGTGATTGTGATTGGATCAATTCATCCATCGTTCCCTGGTATACCCAGTAGCCTCGAGCACTTCCCCCATCTTTTTACTCCAACTCTTATAACTCGGGTCTTGGGCTTATTTGGGCTTATTTGGACTGGACTATTGGGCTATTCCACTCATTTTTTTACTTCTCTTATCACTACCCTTTTAATTCCTAATTTCGCCCCTTGCGCTTACCTTCCCCTTCCAACCCCCTTTCAATTCATCTCATGACCGAAAATCCATTGAACGGTATGGCTGCCAATCTCGTTTCACGTCGTACGGTCGACTTCCACCCTGAAACGGTCAAGGTCCTCCCTATCCATCCAAAGGGTGTGAATGGAAACGGTCTCCTGGACGACTCCGACAGCGCCTCCGTCTCCTCCGCGGACACACACGAAGGGGAATTAAAGACCGGGGAACGAAAGCGGCCGATAATGGCTCGCAAGGCCTCTTCGCCTATGGCGCCCACGTTTATGGTCTCCGCACCGGGCAAGGTTATCGTCTTTGGCGAACATGCTGTGGTCCACGGCAAGGCTGCCATGGCCGCCGCTATTTCTCTTCGCTCCTACCTCCTTGTCACCACTCTCTCCAAATCACAGCGCACGATAACGTTGAACTTCCGGGACCTAGGTCTTAGCCATACTTGGAATATTGATACCCTACCCTGGGATAAGTTCCGCGAGCCGTCAAAAAAGAAGTTTTATTACAGCCTTGTCACCGAACTCGACCCAGAACTTGTCGACGCAATCGAACCGCACCTCCAGGATGTATCTAAGGGTCTCCCAGAGGAGCAGCGCAACATCCATATTCGCTCCGCATCTTCGTTCCTCTACCTCTTCCTCTCCTTAGGCTCCCCAGAAAGCCCAGGCGCCATCTACACCCTTCGATCCACAATCCCTACCGGAGCGGGCCTAGGTAGCAGTGCCAGTGTCTGTGTTTGTCTTAGTTCTGCGCTACTTCTTCAAATCCGTACACTTGCCGGACCCCACCCAGACCAGCCACCGGAGGAGGCAGAGACACAGATCGAGCGTATCAACCGCTGGGCATTCGTCGGAGAGCTCTGCATCCATGGGAATCCTAGCGGGGTGGATAATACGGTGGCCGCAGGCGGCAAGGCTGTGATCTTCCGGCGCGACGATTACTCGAAGCCTCCAACAGTCATCTCGCTACCTACTTTCCCCGAACTCCCTCTCCTACTTGTTAACACCCAACAAGCGCGATCTACAAAGACAGAAGTCGACAAAGTCGGGGCCCTAAGAGAGGCTCATTCTGTTGTGACCGAGTCAATTCTTAACGGCATCGACCAAGTGACATGCTCCGCACAACGTTTAATCGAGGACCCTAGTTTCGAGGGCATCTCTGATATCACGCTCGCCCACTTTGGCACCCTGATCCGTATAAACCATGGATTCCTTGTCTCGCTTGGCGTTTCTCACCCGCGCCTCGAACGTATCCGTGAACTCGTCGATTACGCCGACATCGGTTGGACAAAGCTGACCGGTGCAGGTGGCGGTGGATGTGCGATTACCCTCCTTCGACCTAACGCAAAGGCGGAAGTTAAGCAGGACCTCGAACAAAGGTTCGACGAAGAGGGTTTCACTACGTACGAAGTTACCCTTGGCGGTGATGGTGTTGGTGTTCTCTATCCGGCCGTCCTACGCAATGGCTCGGACGAAGAGGGCGGTGAGGAAATCGATCAACAGAAGTTCGAAAATGCCGAGGGCCCTGAAGGTATTGAGCGTCTTGTTGGTGTTGGAGTGGAGGACCGGAGAGGAGGCTGGAAGTTCTGGAAGCGAGCTATCAATTAAGCTTGGCCTCGGTCTTCCTACCCTCACCACCTTCCCCGGTCTAATTTGGCAAAGCCTTTTTCTTTTTAGGCACTCAGGTCACTTTTCTGTGGTTTTGACCCTCGCCCCTTCCATTCTCTGTACACATTATCCTTATCCATATGCATTATACACCTACTTCTTCATTCTCGGTGTCAAGTCTGATCGTCTTGTTTTGTCGTGGACTTAACCTTCATCTCCGTTCCTGTTCAGATTATGGTTCAGATTTTGTTTGCCAATTCCTCGCTTCTCTATTTTTTCAACTTTTGTTTCGGGCTTTCTCATTGCATGAAATAAATTGACATGGCTGTGGAAGAGCGGGTTTCTCAAATCAAATACATCAATCACATAATACTATTGCTCTACTCTCTACGATTTGTTTCTGTTTTCCCATATAAAGCTTAGGCACAAAGTAAGTCATGGCGTACCCATTCGTTAACCCCCTTCTCCGACATGTATACATAAAACCAAGAAAGAAAGCAGGAATTTGGATATAAGTGTTGTATAATTCCTTTCAAGCTTGACATAGATTACATCGCCTACCATCCATCCTAGTCGGCTGTAGCCTCCCTTATCACACAGCCTTTTCTCTGAGTCTACCATGATCCAAAAGAACTCCAAAAAAATAACCCAAAAGAGAAAGCTCCGGCAGATATTGGTCTAACGTTTAGATCTGTAATTTTCTACTGACCATCATGAACGTTTATCGAAGAATTAAAGTTATAATGAATTAATTATCTAATTCCGAAGCTGCTAGTGTAACCTTAGAAGGCTGAGTGAAATTGAACGAGATTAATAGATGAGATGATACTATTAGTAGTCTTCCACGAGGCTTCGCTGGCCCTGTTGCAGTGACATAGGGACCTTTTCCAAACACCCAGCCGCAGCAGCAAAGAAGCCGAGAAAGACCTTGCTAGGCCGCAGCACAAAACTCAAAAATTCAGGATGGAATTGCACACCGACGAAAAAGGGATGATCATGGATCTCAACAATTTCGATACGCTTGCCGGTAGAGTCTTTGCCAACAACAGCAAGACCGGCCTTCTCAAGCTCTTCAACCATTTCCGGGTTGATTTCGTACTGGTTTCGGTGACGTTCCTCAATCTGGGAAACCGTGGGGCCATACAACGATCGCAGTTTTGACCACTCGGTACCCTCCTTGAAGATGCATGGGTGCTTTCCAAGACGCATGGTGTCAGTTCCATTCTCTTGATTGTGTTCGGGCATGTAAACGATTACATGGTTCTTGGATTCAGGGTGGAGCTCTTGGCTCCCAGCGTCCGGGATACCCATGACATGGCGGGCATATTCGACCACTGCAAGTTGCATGCCAAGGCATACGCCTAGGAATGGCTTTTTCTTACTCCTTGCCCATGTGATCGCCTTGATTATCCCACCGGTAGCGCGAGGACCAAAGCCACCAGGCACGACAATGCCCTTGACGCTGCAGAGGTCATTCCAGGCTTTGTGATACTTGACTGGAGAGTCTTGATAGGTCTTCTCCTCGAGATGCGCGGCGTCAATCCATATGATTTTGACATTCTTGTGACAGTACATGGCCGCGTGTTCGATTGACTTGGAAACACTAAGGTAGGCATCTTTATTGGACGTGTATTTTCCCACAAGCGCGATTGAGACTGTGTCGGTTATGGTATCTTGACTTCGAACAAGATGAAGCCAGTCACCCCACATGCGCTTGCCTTGTTCTATACGCCGGCTGGGTGTTCGATCAAGTGGAAGTTCGAGGTACTCGCAGAGGATGCCGAGAAGATTCTGTTTCGCGAGGAGAAGCGGTACGTGATATGTGGTTGGCCCGTCGTGCACGGAAATGACTTGTTCCGGTTTCATTGAGCACATATTGGCGATTTTCTGGATAGTACCTGGATCCAATGGTACCTCGCAGCGGCATGCAATCTTTTATTAATTAGCTTAAAGTGCATTATATGTAGACTGGTAGTATACCAGGAGTGGACTCAATCCAGCGCTCCGAACGTCGGAAATGGATCTTTGAGTTGGCTTCGTCTTTTGCTCACCAGAAGCTCCTGGCCTGGCCCGATGTTAGCTCATAGCAGTGTTTCATCGCCTGAAACAAGAAGGGCTTACGGCACGACAGGGACGTAAGCTACATGAATCTGAACAAGGTTTTCTTTGCCAACCCTCTTTCGAAGCTGAGCAAGAGCGTAGATAAAGGGAGAACTTTCGATATCGCCCACGGTGCCACCTAGTTCGATAATACAGATATCAGGCTCGGCTTGGGACTCGTCCACAGGTATCTTCGCTGTCCGTTCGATGTATTCCTGAATGGCGTTGGTGACATGAGGCACCACCTGAACAGTCTTGCCTAAATAATCACCGGCTCGTTCCCTAGAGATGATGTCTAGATAGATCTTCCCAGTCGTGATGTTATGACCATGCCGGAGAGTGGTTGAAAGATAACGCTCGAAGTTGCCGAGGTCAAGATTTACCTCACCCCCATCGTCTGTCACATATACTTCCCCATGACTAGATCAATCAGTAGGTATATGGGGCCCGCGGAAGCTGCATCGGATCGTTGTGACTTACTGGAGTGGGCTCATAGTCCCCGAATCGATGTTGATATAGGGGTCTATCTTGATGGTGGTGACGATAAATCCTTTGCTTTGCAGCAGCAGACCTGCACTCGAAGCAACGATGCCTTTCCCTGCCCCAGAGATGACGCCTAGTTATATTAGCCTCGTATACCTCAAAACACTAAAGGTGAACTATGGAGCCCCGCTTTTCTCTACGGCTCGGCGGAGCCACTTCAGATCACTGTCAAACTCACCTCCAGATACCACAATGTACTTCATCTTAGCAATCTGAAGCCTAAAGGCAGGTGAGGATATTGATGAAAATCAAGAGCAAGATACCTACTTAAGTAGGTAGAGAGAGAAGGAAGCTAATCCCGATTTGGAAATATGACATGTGGGGTGGCAGATCCGACACCGCCTTTATATGGAGACACCTTCTTTCAGCCCTTTGATCATCCTTTTTTTATCATCAGAAGTGAGAGGATTAAAAAGCAAGCGGAGTGAAATTGCTACAGGTGGAAGGCTTGCTTTTTGGCTGACTTTCAGGGCGCAAATCATGTGGACACTTGTACGGTACACTTACCGTCTCAACACAACATTGAATATTGTACATCGTATAACGTTGGACCAAGCACCATCAGTTGAATTTCGATACTAGTATTCCTTTTGCTCACAAAAATCACGGATGCTCAAGGGTACGACTTTGATGTGGTTAGTTACCCGCCCTGAGATCCCGATCTGAATGAAAACATGACCTCGGGAGTGTCCGACGTCATGACTCCTGTCAGCTGTCAATTCGAAATACACACTAATACACAACGCATGATGTAGGAATAAAGCGACAATAAACTCAGCAACATATTTGAGAGCATGAACCACCGACAATGTCCAAAGGGTGCTTGTCATGATTGGAAGCCCTCCCTACATGGCGGCATGTTAATAGATCCAGGCTTTGACAGCTTGTCTCAGAAACGATAATTTGCATGCGGTCTCCATTTCAGGGTCCATGATGCCTCTGTGGAGAACAATTGTCAGGCCAGGTCCAACACGAGCGAATCATACGCCATAGCCATGGAAATTATTTGTCTAAGACAGGGGCAGTGCTTTTTCGGAAGTTTTCTAAAAGCTCATCTTTTCCCAGCATGGCTTTTTGCCGACTCTCCTCGTTCATCTGAAACTTCTTACTATACATATCCTTGTCTATAGATTCCGACTCGCCATGAAGTCTGAATCTGTGACATGCGCGGGCCTCGCGACTTCTATTGCGTTGGCTACATGCCTAGCAGGCGCATTGGCTCAAGGGAATAGTTCAGGTGCTCCGGTCAACCTAACAGTTGCAAGGGAAGGCGGTAATAAGTCCAGTCCGCTTCTCTATGGAGTTATGTTCGAGGTGAGCAACTAAGTCAGTCTCATGCGTGAGCAGCTATATCGCTAACATTTGATATTATAAGGAAATGGACCATTCGGGTAGGAAAGTCGGATTTTCTGATCTGATCACGAGCATTACTAACTATCTCAAGGGGATGGTGGAATTCACGGACAATTGTTACAGAATAATGGATTCCAAGGAACTAGTCTTGGTTTGACTGCCTACGCCCCGGTGGGAGATACGATAATCTCCCAGGATGTCTCAAAGCCTGTCAGCAAAGCTATTACGTCTTCGCTCAACGTCGCAGTACCGGATGGCGTAACAGACTATGTTGGCTTCGCCAATACTGGTTATAATGGTATTCCAATCACGGGCGCCATATACAACAGTTCATTCTGGATGATGGGCAACTACTCGGGAATCATCAACCTGCAGCTTGTTGGGTCGCACAGTGGATCGATATATGCCGATCACAATTTGACCGTCAAGAGTACGGATTCAAAATTCACAGAGTTCAAAGCCAGTTTCAACACTACTTATGCACCGGAAGGGGACAACGAGTGGCATTTGACATTCGATGGATCGAAAGTTGCCGGTAGCTCATTGAACTTTGGCTTAATCCAATTGTTTCCTCCTACTTTCAAAGGGAGAGAAAATGGGTTGCGAGATAGTCTTGCAATGTTTCTGGACGAGGCCAATCCAGCGTTTCTCCGGTTCCCGGGCGGGAACAACCTCGAAGGCTTGGAGGTTGATAGTCGCTGGAAGTGGAACACCACAATTGGACCCGTGGTCGACCGTCCGGGAAGAGAAAGTGACTGGTTTTATCCTAATACAGATGCTCTCGGCCTGGATGAGTATCTGTGGTGGTGTGAAGACATGAACATGGCGCCACTCCTGGCTGTGTGGTCAGGCAAGTCCTATGGAGATATTCTCTCCGGGCCGGACCTCGAACCTTTCGTCGAGGATATCATGAATGAGATGGAATATCTCTTTGGCAACTCTTCGACACATTATGGCAAAATGCGAGCCCAGAACGGTCGGAAAGATCCATGGAAGGTGGACCTTATTGAAATTGGCAACGAAGACGATCTCACTGGTGGTTGTGACACCTATCCGGATCGTTTCAACCAAATCTATAAGGCCATCCATGACAAGTATCCGAACATCACGTTTGTTGCTTCCCATGGGAACTATTCATGTCTGCCATCTTCACTTCCTAAAGATGTCATCATTGACCTGCATCTGTACCGAGCACCGGACGACTTTGTCAAATTGTTCGACCAGTTTGATAACCAGCCGCGGAACCAATCGGTGATGATTGGTGAGTTCGGATGTCGCAATACGACAGAAGAGACGGGAACATACTGGCCGTACATGCAGGGAAGCTGCAGTGAGGCTGTGTACATGATCGGAATGGAGCGCAATAGTGATATTGTAAAGATGGTTGCTTACGCGCCTTTGATGCAGCACTATGATTTCGTCTCTTGGTCGGTAAGAATATCTAAGAGGTTAGAAGAACGTCGGAAATATAGCTGACCACGCTGTTTTTATACGTATATAGCCCACACTATACGGCTTCAATTCGGCTCCCGACTCTGTCACACCTTCGGTTTCATATTTTGTTCAAAAGATGTTCGCATCCAACAAGGGTGACACCATTCTTCCAGTTCACTCTTCAACAGGATTTGGACCTCTTTACTGGGTGGCTTCGAAGACAGGTTCACAATACTACTTGAAACTGGCAAACTATGGCCCCGAACACCAGAACGTTCAAGTGAGTATACCAGGAACCAAAACCGGTAAACTGGAGATGCTTGCTGGACCCAAGTACCAGGGCGACACGCCTTTCAACGTGCAAATCCAAACCGTCATCACCAGGGTCTTCAATGGGCAAGGGAATTATTCAATAAATATGGATCCGTGGGCTGTCGCTGTTCTAGTAGTCTCATGAAGCGGATGACTGTATATGTCCCAAAATTTGCTGTTTCATGCTTTACGTGCATTGTTCATTGGTCCAAGAATGTCAAGCATACCCAATATGTGCTCCATAAACTTCAAGATCAGATTTCTGCATCTCACTGATATATAGATCCCATAATATTTCCCGCGTTATAAATACAAATTCAGTTTAAAATCTCCACCGGAACCTCAACAACCTTGTCACGCACATAATCCGCAAAGCCCTTGCCAAACCCATCCAATCGACTCGAGCTGCCAACACCTCGACCAAGAATACCATAGATCACAAAGTGCACAGCATGAATGTGAGGGAACTCCACTCTCTCAACCAAGAACGACTCATCCCAGTCATCATCATTAGCGAGCATCTCTCGCATTCTCTCCACGCTCATATAAGACCGCAACCAAGACCAGTGAGTAGCATCAGGGACAAATATTCCAAAGTTGAGGTTAGATCCTTTGTCACCGGATCGGGCAAGAACAATGTCTCCGAGTCGAATAGACCGAGTTGGAGATTGGAGGAGGATGACTTCTTCGCTAGACGGACTATGATTATAGCTTGCGCGTGGCTGTAGAGCTTTGTACGCTGAAGGATGACCTGTTGGGAACGAGGTGATAGAATCGGGTGTATCGATGAAGTTGATCTCCTCGTTAAGATCGTCCTGCTTGACTACAGCCGGGTAGTAGGCTAGGAACGGGCGGGGGACTGCTGTGCGCATGTCGAGAGAGGAGTGGAAACCTAAATGATCCAAGTCAGTTCGGAGTATATTCATATAACAGATATTCCTTCGTACCGGAAAAATGCTTTAGAGAGATATCTTTCATTGCTCTTCCGACGGCAAGAACGACGTCAGCCTCGACTGCAGCAATAAATATCCGTAGGTATGTGGTGCTTTGTCGCTGTGAACTTGGATTTGAAGCAGGGACACCGATTCTAGAGATTTCCACATCAACACTGGTCCAAGCTGAAAGATGAGATAAAGTCACCTTTGGAATTCAAGGGTGTCGATCTGATCAAGGGATTCCTTCGTAATGAAATGGCGGAGTTGCCTTTCGATCAGATCCCACTTTTCATCGGACGCATATCCAGTAGCATTCAGTAAAATCTGGGCCTCAAAACCACCAGGATAGAACACGGCCAGCTTGGTTGTTGGAGGAGGGGCATATCCTCGTATTCCATGAACGCGAACCCTAGACGTTTCAGTAAATAGTCAACACAACGAACAAAAACAGGGCACTTACTTATCCTTTCCAACTTGTTCGACGACAATATCGTCCAAAACAGCACTAACATCACTATTCAAGTAAACATTTCCCTGAAGCTCATATAAAAGTTGACACCGAACAGTATCAACATCAATCATACCACCAGTGCCAGGATGTTTCACAACAACACAAGACCCATCGACATCAATCTCCGCAACGGGGAAACCAGGCTCAATAAAAGTATCTACCGGGTGCCGGTCAAACCCAGCGAAGTTGCCTCCAGTAACATAGGCCGAGCACTCAATAAGGTGACCTGCCACCAGGGATCCAGCCAGACGGTCATAGTCCGACTCCGACCAAGAGTGCCAGTACCACGCCGCTGCAATGACGGGACTGGCGTCTGCAACCCGGCCGCAGATAATGATATCTGCCCCCCGACGGAGTCCATCTACGATACCCCGGGCACCGAGGTATGCGTGTGCTGAGACCATGGGAACGGGCTTGGTGGTGTTGGTGAATGCATAGGTGAGAGGGCCAGGCTTAACGGAATTGTTCTCGGCGTCGAGATGTTGGAGTTGTTCTGCGGTTTGCGGCATGTTAGGGCCGAATTTAGTATAGAGGTCATCTCCTGATAGATAGGCCACTCGCAAAGCGAGGCCTTGTTGTTGGATCTGTTACGATTTAGTACATGTATATTCCCGTAATTGGGCCAAGTCTGTACTGACCAGTTCGTGCACTTTAAGCGCTAGCCCTTTAGGATTAAGAGCTCCTCCATTTAGTACGACTTTGATGCCCTTTTCGGCGATCACGTCGATGGTCTGCTGGATACCCTCCCAGGCTGTCTGTTCATATCCGGGATGTTCACCACGTTGGAAGGCCTGGGCATTATTTGCCATATTGACCTCTTAGCTTAGTTAGTCCTTAGTGTCTTGCTAGTTTATGTCGCCAAGCAACATACCCGCCAGGTAATCCCCTGTGATAAAGTCGACATCTCCTAGAGTCGCTTGGCGATACATTTCGTACGCAGGATCGCCTTTGTTCATTAGTACTGTTGGTTTAATCTAATTGATTTCCATACCATGATAGCCAGAACAATTAGCGACTCTGACGGGTCGGCTATTTTCACTTTGAGTAGACATTGTATGGTGTCTTAGTTCTTTTCATAAAATATTGAGATTGTTGCTGCTTTTAAACTAAATCCATGCAAAGTATAAGTGACATTGAATCCTTCTACATATATAATATTATAGTCTAAGGATTATCCCAAGTTGGACCCCCTCGGTTGGAGAGAAGAGCACCGAGGCAAAAAGTACGAAAACCCACGGGGAATCCTTCGAGTTCCCCCCGTGGGCCGTGGGAGTTCGATAATAAACTAGCGCCCCAACTGATCGAGCCAATTAAACGAAAGTAATGATCCTTGATCTGAGCTAATCTGAGCCTTGTTTATTGAGGCTATTGAAGTATTGTTTCCGTGGCATTTTTGTTTTCCCGTGGCGTTTCCAAAGCGCCTGCTAGGGGGGGGATTCACATCACTTTATGCCATATTGGGAAAATACGCGATTTATTGGACCAGTAGTATGAATTATTGGATGTTGGTGAAGTTGTGATAGCGTCCAGAAAAATACGAGGTGTGTTGGCACCCAGATTTGAGGCTGAGAACTTTTCATGCAAGTATAAAGGGTGAACATCGGTCTCGGTGCATTTCGAGATAAAAATTCGCTCCACAATATTATCACTTCATTACTCCCTTTCCTTTTCACCTTTTCTTTGAGCCAATATGCACGAGACTATCCCTGCAAATGAGATATACGGACCCGGAACCTACATCGACAAGTCCGTCCTCCCTATACCGGAAGATGCCCGTCGAATTTTCGAACTGCTGGCGTCACGAACGCCTGGTTTCACAAAAATCACTGCACTGTGGGATACTGTTAACTTCGAAGGCCGGCCGGACCCTATGGTCCCCGGTCCGATGAAGTCCCCCGTCGTGGCAGCAGCTTTGCATGCCATGTGCGGGCTAGTTGGAAACGAACTCCTTGAGCTACGGGATGGCAAGCCAGCCAAAGAAGCCAGCGTGACTGTAAACACAGACCATGCTGGCATCTGGCTTGCATCCACGTTTACGGCATTCGTGAATGGCAAAGACATCTCGACTCTTGCACGGGCCCGCGAACTTGCCAACATCTTCGACAGGGACTTTGAGAAGGGGTTTGGCGTTGGTCCGTTGGCGGGCCGAGCCACTGCACTGTATCCCACCAAGGACTCCGGGGTGTGGTATCAACTCCATGGATCGCTGGATGCAAGCAAGACACTCTGCTCGATGGGGATCGACATGGATGTGCCGTTGAAATCGTTTCAGGAGGGATATGAGTACATTCGGGAACATGTGCAGAAATGGAGTCCTGATGAACTTGAGATGCACAATGTGAGACATGGATTATGTGGGAGCATCTGCTACTCCCCTGAAGGCTGGAGGAAGACTGAAATGGGGAAGCGGCTTGCGGAACACCCTCTCGTGAATTATACGCATGAATCGTATGCAAAATCGACACCATCAGTCCCCTTGAGTCAACTTCCTGATCGTCGGCCTCTGGCTGGTATCAAGGTTGTGGAGATGGTACGGATTATCGCTGGTCCCACTGTTGGGGTAATTCTTGCATCATTTGGCGCCGATGTCATCCGTGTCAACTGTAGTAGACTAGCAGATTTGAATGTGAGTAACATGGACTTTCCTTTTCGTCTTGAAACCAAATACTGACCATGCTTAACAGGTCCTCCAATTGACGCTCAACGCCGAAAAACGCACGATCGATCTCGATATTGGAAAGGAGGAGGACATGACTCGGCTCAAGGAGCTTGTGGCCGATGCAGACGTGTTTGTCCAGGGTTTCCGGTATGGGTCACTAGACCGGAAGGGACTCGGTCTGCAAAACATGCTGGATCTGGCAGCCAAAAGAAACAAGGGCATTGTCTACGTCGATGAAAACTGCTACGGCCCATCCGGACCATTCGCCGAGAGACCCGGCTGGCAGCAGATCGGGGATGCTGCATCGGGTGCTTCATACGTGATGGGTCGGTCGCTTGGATTCGACGAAGGAACGAGTGTTCTTCCGCCGCTGCCAATCTCTGACATGACTACTGGTGTTGTCGGTGCTCTGGCGACAATGTTGGCTATTCGTGATAGGGCTCAAAAAGGAGGCTCATATCACGTTGTAAGCTCGCTTGTGGCGGGGGACGCGATTCTGGTGGACCCCGAAGTCGGCCTGTATCCCGTTGAAGTGGTACAAAAAACTCTCGATACGTTCAAATTTGCACGCTCGTCTCCGGACCAGTTCGTCTCGGAGATTATGATTCAGGTAATTGATGGGTGGAAACGGGTTTTCCCGGAATATCTTGCACAAGACTCTCCATTTATGATGAGCTTTGAAGATAGCCCATGGGGACCAATGGATATGCTGAGGCCTGTGACTAGACTAGATGACAAAGAAGCAAGTCCAATTTGAAAGAATGCCCCTGTTCCGAATTGCCATCATGATCAAAGCATCACCTGGCATGGTCGTGTTGCAGGGGAGTTTTCTGAATTGGCATATTAGTATATAAGATAGGTTTCCATGACAATAATATTCAAATTCACAACTCTCCAGTGCTTTCAGCTAAATCATATGCGCCAAAATCATACGCCGGAGGGACACCCGCTAGCATGTCTTGCCAGTTCCAAGAAAGAGGAGCGGGCAACGGCAGTGGACTTGTAGTATAGAAACCTTGATCTGTAGACATTATGTTTGAAGACTGAATATTGCTGCCATCATTCTCAGTCGACTGGGGATGATTGACAAAAGCGGGGAAAGAGTTCGGGGGTAAGTAGCCATTCTGTGTCCATGTTTGCCCTTGAGGACGAATGGAAACTGGCTGATTATCACCCATAGAGTCTGGCTCGGGATTTCGAGCCCGATACAACTCTTTCCTGGCTGCACTTTCAAAGTCAGAGCACAATGCCAATACATAGTCCAGATATGTATCTTGTTCCCGAGATGCGACCTTTGATATAAAACTGACAACCCCATGAATCATAGAAATATCCGATTCCGTGTCAAGACGTGTCGGGTCAATGAGAATGTGGGAGAACAATGCAACCAAAGCTGCTCCGGGGAAGTAAACAATACTCCTGATTGATATATTAGGGACTAGCAAAAGTTCAACACAGCAGGTGAGCTTACCATTCAAAGGATTGGCCATAGTAGCCTCGGACTTGACTGATAAGTTCAATCGCCGCTCGTGCGGCTTCTATTGATTGTTGCAATGATCGCTCTCGGTCATTCCACAGACCCGGGGGACTGAACCCCCCATTCTGTGGGCTGGTTGGCCATCGCCGAGGAAGTAGACAGACTCGGTGGATATTGAGGTAGCAGCAATGGTATGCAAAGTGAAGTCTGAGAATGTGCGGTAGGAAGGCATGGTGGCCGGTCGAAAAGTTTCTTCGGGGCCGGAGGATCGGTGGGATACTTTCTTTCCATGCTTCAAGATCGTCAGAGCAACCCTCCACATCTTTCATCAACCGTTCTTTTGTTTTGTTGAATGCATCAGTGCTATATAGCTCATCGTAAACCTTCCGTTGGATCAAAGCAAATCGGGCTAGTGCCGAGAAGAAATTGATTTTGACGTTTTCGATCTCCATCACACCTAAGCCATCTGGTGGGTTCTCGTGAGGCAGTAAAGTATTGTAGTCACGGGTATCCTGGGCAGCAGGGCGGCCGGTCCGCTGACAGATGTCGGCGTCCAAAATGAACGCTATCCAGAAGACTCTTCTCCGCTCTTCCATTTGGGACATCGGGAGACCAAAGGAGTTGGACTTGTGTAACCCAATAGATTGCGACAGACGTACAGCTGCAGCGGCAAACATGAACAGAGGTTGGGGGTTTGGCGTGCCTTGAAAGAAGATTGCGAGACCAAGAAGCGCTTGGACAGCGAGGAGATCGCAGGTTCGCATGAACAGCTCTGTGACCACGTTCATTGCGTTTTTGATATGACCCATACATTTTTGCCAGTCGTCGCTGCTGGCACCGGAGCTTTCTGCCCTTTGCATGTATGCAAAGGCAAGAACAATATTGAATGCAGCCCACCATGAGGGACTTTCGTTAGGATTCCATGATAAGTGTCTGCTGACCATAGCCATGAAACTTTCTGGCCCAAAGAGCGGTACGGCCTTGTTGAAAGTGTCAAAATATTCACGGACAAGATCTAGGATGACAGCTTTGGATGGTAAGGGCTGTGAGCATCTGGTCTGGAAATCATCTTGAAGAGCTCGAGGATACCAGTCAGCTAGCCTCCATCGACTGCTGTTTCTTTGAGCAACATGGCGCCATACATTATTACCCGTCTTGCTTTCAAGCCAGCCCACACCCTCAGGGGAAACGATCGAAAAATGAGAGGATGCACCTGAGGGTAGTCGGTAGAATCAGCTCAACCATTCGTGTGACCATTGAGGAACGATAATCGGTGAGCCAATACTCACCAAAAAAGCGCATTGCGCCTTTCGGAGTTTTAAGGGTATATGACCCTCCGTCGCAATCTCCTCGATCGGCCTCGGCCTCAAAAGGTGCTTGAGCGGTGTCATCTCTCGGAGATGGTAACTCTGGATCGGATACTTCTGAGGGTTGAGCATGCTCTGGGCCTGTGTCCTCGTCACTCGGCAATCGTCGTCTCTTGGACGCATGTGCTTCATTCAATTCGTCTTGTAGAGACTGAATGCGCTGTTCTAGCTCATGAAAATGTTCATCGCTATGAGTGAGTGGGTGAGTGAGTGAGTATGCGTTAATTGAAAAGACCCCACAAGCGAAGTAGAACATACCGATTGTGCTTTTTCTTGCGTCGCACGGTGTCCTCGTACTTGCAGGGTAAGTCGAATGTTCTGCAGGGGACACAGACTGGTCGAGTCCCATCACATTTGACTTTTTTCCTTCTGCACGTACTGCATGCCTTTGTAGCGTATGCAGGTCAGCATCCAATTGCAGCCGTTCCCTCAGTTTATGAGGGCCATGGGGGCCATATGGGGGGCCAGTCGATACCTTGGCAAGGCGTACAACATTGCTGGTGTGCTCATCCATGATACAGAATGATTTGTGTAGTAACACCAGAGCTGTTCTTTCAAAAGTGCAATCCCTACGCGGCTCCAATCATCATGATTAAGAATTGTACGCTGAGACAACATGAGGTTTCCCGCGGAGATTCCGGCGTTCAGGCGTTCAGGCATCGATGCTGAGTCAATAGTATTGCCTGAGGCCAACACTATGAACGTAACGTAATCGGTAAGCGAGTCGGCCATGTAAGCCAGCCGGCCACCCAGTCTAACATACTAAGTTTAAATGGATATATCATAGCCACAACGCCATTAAATTAATGTAACTAAATTCATTTATCTATTTGGACATGTTTCTCTCCTATGCCCCGGCTGCCTACATATTCCACAGGCTCGCCCGGCCCGTATAGGTGGCTGTAAACCCTCCGATACCTGCTCACGATAGGTATTGATACGTGCAACTTGGGCCTCGAATGGTTCCCCACGTAGCTCACGAACCTCCTGGACTGAAAGATCTCCTTCGTGGACTATCGTCCTCGTAGACCGAGTCCGCTTTTGCTTCTGCTTCTCGTTGGCGGCGCGTAAATCGCTCACTTCTTTCTCAAGTAAAGCGGCGGACTGCATTGTGATTTGACAGGCTTTTAAAACCTTGTTTATCGCGCAATTTAGCGGGCTCGGAGGGCTCTTTGATCTAGCACGAAGTAAAGCTTTAATTGACGAAGCTTGCTTTTGTAATTGCACGTAGTTCGAGGGCGTTTTTGGGTCCCAATCGCTCCCCCTACTCGGAGGGGGGGTCGGGGTTCGAAGACGGATATTTAGCTTCGAGATCACTCGATTAGGTGCAAAAGGTATTAAGCCAGCTGCTCCGAAGCTATTCTTAATAGTCTCCGATTTAAAAGCTTCGATTCGTGCGAGGGGGTATGCTTCAAGGAAGTCAAGTTTATCGATATGGTTGATCCCGTTCCGCATTTTCATTTCAACTAGCCGACCATATGATCGCTTTAACACAGCAAAACAACCGATATCCAGGGGTTGTAAAAGATGAGAGGAGTGCGGAGGCATACAAATTGGTATAACCTTATTTTGCTCGCAAATTTCATCGAATTTAGGGGTCAAATGGCTTCCATGTCCGTCGAGTATTAGGAGACGATACCCCCCTTCGTACGCGAAGAAGTGCTAGGAATAAAGAGCTTTTCAAGCCAACGAAGTCCAATTTCATCAGAGGTCCAACCGTTCGGACTAACTTCAAATCGCCAGTCATCCGGAAGGCCATCAAACCATGATTCAATAAAGACTTTGCCTTTAAAAATGATACACGGAGGGAGGGCCCAACCCGACGAATTTGTACACTCAATAGCAGTCACCCATTCGCGATTTCCAGGTTGTAAAAGCGAGCGCCGGCCGTAGAATTCGCTCCTTGTAATCACCTTCGCTGTAGCGATTAGCCCCATCGCGAAGCCGGTCTCATCGAAGTTATAAACGTCATCGGGGTGGATTCCAAATTGGAGGATTGTTTTTTGAACAAGATCGAACCACCCTTGGATGATTTTCGGGTCTTCGCACTTCGCACGTTCGTAATTATAGCGTCTCGAGAATCGGGATGAGAGGAGAGGGTGTCGTTTCACAAAGTTATAAACCCATTTTTCGCCGACCGAAATAACCGGGGTGGTTCCACGTTGTTGAAGTAAAAGGTTCGCCATTTCTCGTACAGTAGAAGGCCGGGGGGCAGATCCACGAGAGTCCATAGAGAGAACCCATCTTTGAAGAGATTCCTCTTCATATTCGGTCAATTTATGCGAATTTGCGCGACAAATCGCGCGATTTTGGTGGCCACGTAGTCGGTCTTGAAGTGTTGAACGTGGTATGTTAAAAACGCGTGCCACTTCGCGAATTGAAGAGATTTCTTTCTTTTTAAAAGCTTCAATAGCTAATAAAACCCTACCCTCTTGCTCTGCTGAATTGCTAGAGGATTGGGAGCGAATTGGTGGCATGGTGCGCGGTTGAATTGACTAAGTGCTAATCTATGGACGCGTTTTGGGCTGGGTGGCCGGCTGGCTTACATGGCCGACTCGCTTACCGATTACGTTACTTGAATCAGATTTGACACTTCCCCTAGGTAGTCAGCTCCGAGTCACGGCCTATAATTCTCGTATATTGCGTGATTGACACCTCTAACTACGTATATTCATCGTAGGATATCCACCGGGGAGGATCAACGGCCTGCCGAAAAAGTGGCCTAGAACATTCATCTTGGCATTCTGGAAGATTTACACTTTCGAGCTTTCTCAATCGGTCTGCATGGCGAAAGATCTTTGTTGAGTTGCGAACCTAGACCTCCTGCTTCTGACCACCCTTTTTATGATTCTATTTGTAGATTACGAATAGCAGTTCTGAATAAACCAGTGCTATATAGTAGGTAAACTAGATAGTAGAGATTCGAGAACTAGAGCAGAAGCCATAATATCACTGTGTTAGATCAGACCACCAATAACATGATATGAATCATTTGATCCAAGTTGGGTGATCATTGTACTCCCTTGACATGTGCTGCGTGTACTTTGATATTTGTATACCAGAATTCGAGCTCGCGAAATGTTTCCATATTTCGAACGTCTTCACTAAATCTTCTCGTTGGATCAGATACACCAAAGGACTATTTACCGCAAGCTATGGCGATGCAACGGCGGATGTTACTCTGTATAACAACCCAATCTAGTCACAGCAAATAGCCGCCAACCGTAATCAAGTCTGAATGCATCGTTTATTGAGTGATCGTGGTTCACTGACCACGACTATTCGAATATAATCGCACGATTCCGCTATGTCTTGGGTATTTGTTTGCGCTACCTCTGCTCTACCTCCGGTGAATGGTTGTGGTTCAGGCCATTGTCACACTATTGTCTGCATGACTGACTGGGCCTCCCTGACCAAGGTTACTCGCTTTTTAGGAACTATATCCAACAGCAATGTAACCGTAAAACAGAAGGGACTTCTATCGGTCAAGCCGAGACATATATCGACTAACAAGGAGAAATTAAGCCATGTCAAGAACAAGCTCATTAAATCAATTGGTTGATTTTGAGCTTGTCGCGATGTTGCCGTTCACATTGTTTCAGGCGCCTCATTGTCAAGGAGCAAATATGGTTGCAATAACAAATCATGAATGCAACCTGTGGCTGAATTTTATGCTCTCATCAGGTTGTTTTGCAGGTGCAGTGTTTCCCAGGTGGTATGAACTTGTCTGACAAGGCAAATATCACTCCAAACATTCGAACTTTAGCACTGGGGCGTTCAGTAACTCCCACATATAAAATCAATAAATCAACCCTTTAAGCATGCCTCTTCCCACCACCACCACCAACAATCATCAGCTTCATCGCCAGTCTCTAGTCACACAATCAACCAATTCAAGAGTACCCCTAAAACCCACAATGGTTGCCATCGGTATCCGATCTCTCCTCTGCATTCTGGGAATTGCTTCCCTTGGTACATCTGCCGCTGTCGATACCGCCCAAGGCTGGCAACTGACTCAATATTGTGAGTTGAGCTAAAGTACAATTTCACCATCTCAAGCTAGGCTGATGCAGAACCAGGCACCGATTTCTATACTGTCAGCAACGGAGACACCTGCTGGGACATCATTGCGCGGAACCAGAATAGGTTCACCATGAGCCAGCTTCTGTGCTGGAACAACGATATCAACCCGTGGTGCTCGAATTTGATTCCAGGCCGACAGGTCTGTGTTGGAGTCCAGCGTCCTGGACCTGCCTGCTAGATAGTCAGGTTGATGGTCATATTCCTGGCATTATAATTCAAAACAACGAAAAACGAATTGCCTGGTATCGCCGAGCACTTCGGTCCTCCAGATTGTTTGATGGAAATAATGGGGACATAATTTCTGAGTTCTGAGTTCTCTTTGCGCTGTTATTACAGATGGACATTCATTGAATCAAAGTTGTCAAGTTTGCTGGTATTGATAAATTTATGTAATATTTCTATTCCAAGCATTGTGCAGGAATTGTCTCATCGTAATTGGCTTCACCTCTGGGAATTGAGTATTGAGACGATCCTCCGGCAATTGAAAGACATTGTTGACTGTGAGTCTGCTCACTAACGCAGTCACCTCCTTGAGTTCGTCCGATGAGCATTCCATTCCCTCTGGCTGCGGAGGGACGGTAACATCACCAGTCTTGATTTGCTCCAGACTATCATATGCTACCTTGAATTTCTTGCCTGTTTCGGAAATTATTATTAGGTTGCGGATGTATCCCAAGTAAGGGCGTGCGATATTCTTACCGGTGAATTCTTCCGCCATACCGAGAACCTGGTTGTAGGTAACTTCATCTCCAACGATTACACTGAGCTCAGGCCATTCCTCAAGGTCAAGTGCCTTGACCAGGTAAGTAGCCATGTCGTACGTATATGTCATACAAATCACATTGTTACCATCTCCTGGGATCGCAGCCGTGCCGCTGGATATATCAATACCAAAGGTGAAGGGCTGCAGGTGAGTTTGGACATGTGGCATTCCCCAATAGTCCATAAAGAAACCAGGGATTACCCTGGTATATTGTAAGCCACTAGCCTTGAGACAATCTGCCGCATCAAGCCAGTATTGAATGCTAGGGTCAATCGGGAGTAACCTTGGAGCGTTAAATATCAGCATGGAATAGCATATAGCTGAAGCTGGCCGACCTACTCAGTGGTTTGGACAAATGAGTATTCACTGGGGATGAATCTTTTCGTCGATACCGACTTCTCTGCAGCTTTGATCAAGTTCAACTGAGACTGACTTGTCTCATCGGAAACAAGACCAATAGCGGATATGACGGTGTGGATGTTGTATCGCTCAAGCTCATGTGTCATTGATGAAATATCATCGTAGTTGATCTGCACATTTTGTATATTCTGCGAAGCAAAGTCCTGTTTAACCTGATAAGGAGGGAGGTCAGCTTTAGTGGAAAGTGTCTCTTACTATGTACGTACTCCGCGAGATAAAACGACAATGTCAAATTTAGAGTCGAGCAATTTTTCAACAATAGCTTTGCCCACTCCACCAGTTCCACCAGCCACAGCAATGACCGTCATGGTTAAAGAAGTGTTTAATAGTCGAAATAGTTGAACCAGTTGAAGTTGCCACGGAAGAGTTTCCCGCGATGACCCCACTAAGCAGGTTTTCGTAGATTCTCACACATTTCACCTGAATTTACGATGTATAACCCAATGTTTATAACCCCTTGCATATTTTGCCAAACTCCAATCAAATCCCCCTTAAAACCGCATATCGGGGATTCGGGATTCAGACATCGGCGACTTCAGGGCTTCCCCCGGGGCCCCGGGCCCATGACGGATATGACTAATATCGGGGGGAAAAGAATATAAAATCCAAAATCTTCCGACATTTCCACTTCAGTGATCTTACTTCTAAATCCAATATACAAATCCAATTCCATCATGTGTATGAAGGCTACCTGCTCGACCTGCAGTGAGTTTCCATCTCTCTGTCTACAGAACAGCAGCTAATCATTACAGACAAGGTCACTTGGTGGGGTTGTGGAAGCCATATTCCTTCGGTGATGGACTCAGTTCCCGAAGCCGATTGGTGTGCCTGCACACCTCAGGTTGAGAAGGATGGAAAGAAGTACCCTCCCAAGGCGGCGAAGGCCGGCTGACTACAAGGCTGTGTGATTTGTTAAAGGAAGTGAGTGCCGCATGTTTCGAGAGAAATCATTGTGAAGGACTTGTTACCAACTGGATTTCGACAACATTCAAGGGGAGGGGATTTGATAGAGTTCTGGAAATGCGTGCGAGATTTTATATGTCATTTGGAACAGATAAATAATGAAAGTATAAAGAACGACAAAATCAAAACCAAAACCAAAACATGCGTGATATGAAAGCCAAGAGAGTGAAGAACCACAGCAGAATCCAACCAACAAGAGAACCAGTAATGAGTAAACAGCCGAGTCAATGTACAGATAACGAAACGATCGAGACTAAGAGGCCGCTGCGTTCTTCCCCTTCTTTTTCCCTTTCTTCGCTTTCGCCTTCTTCAGTGGCTGCAGTGGTGGTGGCCGCATTGGCACTGTTGGCGCGGTGATTGCCTGGGCTACTGTAGAAAGGGATGGTGGTCCACCGTCTGCTAAAGGAGGAGCGGTATTGATATATGGCGGTCCCCTCGGCACAAAGTTGTGCGGGACGGCTGGCAAGTGCTTTAGCTCCCTCTTGTGGTTGCAAACATAGAGATTTCCCTGTCCGTCCGGGCATGTTGCAGTGTAGAGCGCAAACCGCACGAAAGGCCCCGAAAGAATCATCGAAACGTTCGGTCCTGGCATATCTACTAAGACACAGGCCTGTACTCTCAGCCAATAGGACAAGGTCTGGCCGGAGCCATCATTCAGACGGACGTCAAGCTCCACAACCTTGTGAACTCCCATTCCATCTGGGGTTGCCACAATATTATAGCCATGAACTGGACAACGGGTACCTAGCCTCTCCAGCTGGTCTATATAGTACTCAGGTATCGCCATAACATCCGCACCAGTATCATGGCACACCAACAGGGTGATGCTATAGCAGCCAGTAGATTGACTATCAGATGTTATCTCCACTGGGTACTATATAGTAGGCAAGATATGAAAGTCAGAAATAATATATAAGTTAAGAGATCAGTATAGACATACCTCAATCGTATGAAGGCTGTTCGTCGGCGGAAACCCGTGAAATGCTCCTACATTGGCACCACCTGCAGCTTGAAGCTACATATGACATCTCAAGTCAGAATCAAGGATAATGTTTGCATGTTGTGGTGATAAACTTACACCTTCCACCCACCACGCTCTAGTGGTATCGTACTCTTCAGCCAGTTTCTTGTGATACTCCACGCTGAACTTCTGGGGCGCATTGAGCTGTATGCCCTTTGACCAGTAGCTGACCCATCCTCTCGACCACCCCAGTTTGCCTTCCCTGTAGGCTTTGATGATAGCCTTGACATTAGGAAGCTGATCATCCGGGTCCCCATTCGTATTGAGATGGGTCTCGATAGTCTTCAAATGATCCAAGCGTTGGACGATGTCCCAGCTGAGTCCGGCCGGTTCAGAATGGATCATTTCATCGCGAGCAGCCCGTCTTTTCTCATACTCTGACAATCTGAACTTGAAGAAGCTGGGCAAGATTCCATCACTGATCCTCTCCATACATCTCTCAACTTGACCATTGATGTCGTTGACATCAAGATCTAGTTCGTCGGCGTTCCAGCCTTCTGGAACAAGTGCTGGATCGGTAATAGGCACGTCGCCATCGTGTTTCCATCGCTGCTGTCTCGGGGGACGACTTGAATACGTCTCAGCCTGTTCAGCTTGAGCCATCATCATGCTGTAGTCAACATAGTCCTCTGACATGATAGGAGTTTCACTTTCAGTTTCGCCCGATGAAAAATCAGAGGAAGAGGAAGGAGAAGGAGAACCATCCTTGGCAGCCACATTGGTGTTCGCTTTGCGCTTCTTCCCAGACTCATCGGGGTCCACAGGGGGCTCTGAGTACGCCCGCTTCGTACTACTTCGAGGAGGCATCTTGAAAAAAAGGAGGGGATGGAGTTTGCGTGACGGCAAGAGAGGGTCTGGCAACTTGGGGTGAAGGAGAAGCATTGAGAGAGGGGGGGGGGTATAGATGAAGATATTTGTAGTAAGCATCCTGGGGAATTGAATCAGATCGAGACAAAGAGCTACGGTGAATTGAAACGCTCTATGGAGTATGGGAAGGTGATCTGTGAGTGCCTGTGTAGATAGAAACAAGCCGATCGACGCATTTCCAAAGATGCTATTTCTGGATTCCTAAAAGGCGCATGTATGTAACAACAAAGAAGCGGAGAGGGTAACTGTGGGATATCGGGCGTGCAACTCGTCAATGGAAATTACTCGAGGCACCTGTAAGTCCCATCCGAGACAAAAGGCCCAAATCAAAGAAGATATCAACGGACTGGGCATGGCTGCCAAAGAATACCAGTAATAAGCAAAGACAGATGACCAGGAGTGTTCCAGTTTGATATAGCGTAGCGCAGCATTTTGAGCTTCTGGCCAACTCTAAAATTGTGGAAGACTTGTATACTCTCTTCGATATCTGGCGCTCTAGCTAGCCATTGGAGAGAATGATTTTATAAGAGGGATATCCTCAAAACCCTATGCAATGGCCCAAAGTGCAATGCTCCAAACTCTACAGAGGCCTACACTGTGCCAAGACTGACCTACTCGGAATTCTATGAGTGTTCAGTACACGCAGTGTCGAATTAATCACTTCTTTGTCCCGATCTAAAGCACCATTCGAGATGCTAGTGGTGTAAAAGAACTGGTGACAAAGAAGCTGGAGTCCATGTTTCATGTCAGAAGCCCAGTTGTACGTTTGAACATATGTAGAACCAAGCCCCGAGGAGCTTGTTTCAGTAGGGTAATGCCGACGGAGAGAAAGAAAGAAGATGGGCTCTAATATAGGGTTTCTTTCATGTTGGAGTGACTGAGATAATGTGAATGGACTTAGGGGATCTGCCCATGCCCCCAGGTGGCTCGCCTTCAACCTCGGAGGATTCTCGACATGAGGTCAAGTCGTTGCCGAAGAGATGAGGCGATATTTTCAATACCTCCTCACCAGTGACGTGGAGATCGGGGTAGATCGCATAAAGTATGTATTGGATACTTCCTACAGTCTACAAATATCTACAAGCACCTCGTACACCAGAACTAAGAACTAATCCATAAGCCGTCAATTTCTAACCAGTATGCACCTTAATTCTTTCTCGATCATTTCCATACGTGAATATCATGTAGATCAATCACAAAAAAAGCGCAGAAACGGGGCAATTTTTCCGACCTAAAAAACAAGGAACGGTCGTACTAACACGAAGGGGATGACAGGAGTAAAAAAGAAACCATGAAGAAGGGGGAGGGGGAAATAAAAGAGAAAGAACATGCCATTACATCAGAACCTAAGCCTTGATCGCTGCGCCCAATGCACCGCCACCAAACTGCTGGCCACCAGGTCGGCGATCGCCCTGGGGAATGCGGGCACCGCCACGACCACCGCCACGACCGCGACCGCCGCGACCACCACGGGCACCGGGACCGTGTTCGCGCTGGAAGGCATTTGCCATACCCTGGGTGCGCTGCTCGAGGGTCTTCTCGTTGGACTCGAGGAGGTTGGTGGACTTGTCGGCCAGGGTGACAATCTGGGACTGGAGACGGGAGAGCTCGACGCCCTTGCGGAAGATGATGGCGTCGTTGACCTGGTCGAGAGCGGCGGCGAGCTCTTCGTGGGAGATCATGCGGGAGATAATGGAAACAATCTTCTTGGGCTCGAGTTCGAACATGCTGGCCAGAGAAGAGATGGAGAGGCTGTCGTAGTAGGGGGCGTAGGTGAAGAGGTAGGTGCGCAGACCCTCCTCTTGGGTCTGGCGGGACAGCATGGCCTTGATCAACTCGGGCTGGGGCATAAGGTCCCAGATCTTGATCGCGGCAAATGTAGAGGCGGAAAGCTTCCAGTCACCGGCGGCAAGAGCCTTGGCTCCGGCAATAACACCGTCACGGGTGTTCTCGGGGGGACCGGTGAAGACCTGGCGCTCATTGTAGTCCAACATGCGGCGGAAGGTCTTGGAGATCATGCGGCGGCGCAGCTCGGGGGCGGAAGAGGTCTGGGCCATCAAAGGCACCTCAAGCAAAGCACTGCTAGTGAGGTAAACACACTCGAGCAACTCGAGGTTGATGTGCATATGGAAGGGCAGCTGGCGCTGGCGTTCCAGACGCTCCTGCTCGGGTGAGACAGTGGAGTAACGCTGCATGATGATACCCTGGGCAAGAAGCTCCTTTTGGCGACCGCTGCCGCAGATCTCACCGAGGGTGTTCTGGGCCTCGTAGATAAGGCCGGCGCGGAAGGCACAGAGACCGATCTGAACAAGGGTGCGGTTGAAGAGGATCTGGGTGCTGACGTCGAAAGTGGCGATGTTTTCAGTCAGATGAGACATGAGCATCAAATCACGAGACTTATAGTATTGGTCGTGCAGAGCAAGGAAGTAAATTTGGCAGAGCATGGCGCGAGCGCGGGGAATTCCATCGCTGTGTTGGAACATGTAATTGCAGATAGAACCCACGAGGCTCTGGATATCCCCAGACTTGTAGGTAGCAGTAACGGCGGACTCGATATTCGTGGGAACGGCCTTGTCCTTGGCCTGCTCAACAATAGCAATGACATTAGCGGGCTTGAAGTAGATGTGCTCCAACCGTCTAATAACCAGTCTGTTCATGCTGTCCTGGCCATTCTTATCGGCACCCTTGAGACTTTCAACGTAAAGCTGCGAGCGAACAAGCGAGGAGTAAAGTGCCTGCTCGTCCGTCAGGCGCTCAATGTACTCTGAGGTGTGGGGGTCAATCTCGCGGAGACCCTTTGTGAGGCTGTCGTCGAGGTGCTCCACAAGGGATACGACGGAACCGGGAATGAAGAAGACCTCGCCCTCAGCAACAGTAGGTTGCTTCTCATCGTCCTCCCACTCGTCGGCGGCTTCGCTGACAAGGAATTGGCGGTTCTCTTCCAACACGGAAAGGAGAGCTGAGTACTCCTCGTTTGCGGCCTGCCATTGCTCGCTTGACATGTAGGTGGCGGTGGATGTGGCAGTCAGATCGAAGCGGGTGGAGATCAGGGTCATGTAGGTGCGGATGCGTTGATAAGGAGTAGTGGCAACCTCGAGGAGCTTCTGCATGGTGCGGATCTGGTCGGCACGGTCGGTGTTCTTCTTTCCGCGGGACTCAACAATGACACGGAGGTGCTTGAGGATGCTCTCAGGGGTATACTGGAGGGTCTTGCCGCCACGTCCGACGGTAGCGAATCCATCGTCCTCACCACCAGCGGCGGCGGCGGCAGCAAGGTTCTCGATCTTTTCGACCTTGGTGGGCTTGGGGGCAGGAGCAGGGGCGGGCTTCTCCTCGACCTCATCCGCCATGAAGGCATCCTTACCGGCGCGGTACTTCTCGACCAGAGTGGCGTATTCCTTGTTGTTCTTCTTAATCTTTTGCTTGACCGCGTTGAAGCCCTTGCTGTTGCTAGCGTTCATCTTCTTGTTCGAGGCCTTCAGCTTGGAAGCGGTCTCGTTGGTGAAGTCTTCGAGCTCGGCAACGGCCTGGATGTAGACCTTGGGGGTGGGGCCCGTAACCTTCAACATCTGACGGTTCAGGTTGTCGAATTCTGTGTGGAAGATATGTCAGTTCATGCCGTTCCTTGGGCCTACAAATTTTGCTGGCTCTCCAGTTTTCCCAGCCGGTATATGGACTCACCAGTGGCGATGACAGCCCAATCGTTGATCTTCTCGGCGTTTTCAATCAGGCGGATGGTGCTCTCGAGGCCCTCGAGACGCTTGTCCTTGGCGGACTTCACGACCGTAACCTTCTCCTCCTCCTCACTCTCCTCGCTCTCGGAATCATCGTGCAAGAACTTTGAGGCACCGGTGCGGCCCTCCTCGCCCTCCTCGTCGCTGTCGGAGCTAGAGCCGGAGTCGGTGTCATCCTGGTCAGAATCTTCCTCGCTCCCGGAGCCGGAACGGTAGACCTCCTCCTCCTCGTCAGACGAGCTGTCGCTGTCGCTGCCGCTGCCGTAAAAGAAACGCGACGCCATGGTTGCGGATTGCGGTTTCGTTAAAAGGAAATGGCGATCCTAAAGCTGAAAAATCAGGTCGTCGGCGATACAAAGTTGAACTTCCCGCAGTTGAGAGCCACACACGAAATTTAAGCGAGGGGCTGACTAAACCCAATTAGGCATAGCGCATAACAAAGAAATAGTGCCTTTTTTTATACTTCGTTTTTATAGATTCAACTTGCTTCGACTTGCTTAATATGATTGCTTTGACAATTTGTTCACTTCAAAACAGTTCTCAAGTATCCAAAAAGGAAATGGTAGCCAACTCAAACTACTTTGAAATTGGGAAGCTGCCGTCTCTCATCTACTTTAAACTGGGCACCAAGGCCTGACCGATCAGGCAGACGCAGGCAAACTTTGGAAGAAATTTCTAAAGAAAGCTAGACTCATCAATTCTCAACTATTGTTCCATTCATGTTCGACTATTAACTCTACTATTTACTGCGTGCTGAAATCAAAACGAGGAACCTCCTAGAAGAAATGATATGCCATGACATACGACCGAAAACCTTACCTCGGGAAAGAAGAAAGAAACAAGATAGACCAACATCTCCAAGATCCGAATTAATTGAAACAGTTACGAGGGGGAAAAAAAGAAATGGATGAGATCGTTCTTTCATGCTCCATCCAGGCTATGCTGAGAGAGGAAAAAAAAATTCATAAACAAGGCAGACATGCCGAAGCACTGTCTAAAGAAATTGCAGAACATAATTGGGATCGTAACACAGCAAGAAACGTAATGAAACGAAATGAATAGTGATGATGCGGGGAGTAATATCTCGCGGCGAGGGATTCGGCCACTGATGGACACAGCTCACGGCAGTAAGTGTGCGCGTCGATCTAGCGCTAGGTAGCAACGCAGATCGTGTATCAGCGGTCTGAGACCACTGTAGACCGCGTT